GAACGATACAACTGGGGATGCAGCGATGGGTTTCATCGGTGAACTTGTTTAGACGTCGCTTACCAACACCAAATGGTGAATACCACGCATTTACAAAGCGTTATATTACGTAGTGCATGAGTAAACGTAAATCGCATTGATCTCTGACGGTAGAAACAAGAGCAATTATATTAAATATATTGCTCTTTATACGAATCTATTACGAATTTCGAAATCGAATTTAATATCAAAGTGACTTATTTTATATATTTGACATTTTTTACAATGACATACTCGTGGAGCTCAATTGGGATTTAACATTTTAACACGAAAATGGTAACAACTGTCTATTGATATCGCGTATATTTTTTGCACCCACATTCGTATCGACACGCGCACCCATGTCAATTTGACGTTCGTTATTGATTTTTGTAAAAACACAAACTTTGTTCTCCAAACAGATATTAAATTCAATAATTTTTGATACGAAGTAATTGATAAACTATTTATATTTTCATTAAGCTGAGGAATTAAACAATCCGCGGGTAACTGTTACAATTTATTATCAGGGTTTAATTTATCAATATGAGCTGATTGCGTTATCTAAATCTAAATACATAAAGCCTATTATCCTTGATCGCTTATGGTTCGAAAACTATAGTGACCTTGACATTTTCGGGTGGGAATATTCTCTAATATGCAATGTTATAATATTACATGATGGTTTTTGAATATTCTGCATATACAGAGTGCCTTAGAGCCGAATACCCCCGCTTCGTTGGAGTGTAGAACTCATTGAGTTGAACAAAAAAGTCCTATATCATTTTGTAAATAACACGCAAAATTTCGAGTTATTAATAATTGAAAACGGTTATGTTTGGAGGCTTCTTTAATTAATAACTCAACAATTGCGGGGGGATGTTCGACTCTGAGGCACCCTGTTTATGAGAAAACAATTAAAAGAGCATTGCGTGGCGATAATTTAATAATTTTACACATTGTTACGCGGCAGATAAGAATATAATAGGCCATATATCATTTGTCGGCCGAGACGTCTGAATCGAACAGAAGCAATTATTTGAAATTGTAGGAAACTTTTGCGCGACTTTAGAGAGCGATTCGCTTGAAAAATGGCTGAAACTTGTCCGTGTAGGGGCGTAATAATAAAGAAAGACTATTACCATCTCTCGCTAGTCGCTGAAAAAGCGTCGTATCATTCAAATATGGGCTCGCATTAAATTCCCATCTCGCCGATGCCAGCCGTCCCGTATATCATACCGCATTAAAAAAAAAAAAGAAAAAAGAGTGAAAGAGGGGGAGAGGGAGAGGAAAAAAAAGAAGCACGACCGACGTCGGATACGAGCCATTACGAGCAAAAAGAGTGGCGTCTGGGCGGTTTTTAGCGCGGCCATATGTCACTATATCGACCGCGATTGCAGTTTCGCCTCGTATGTTAATAAAAAGGCACGCAACCAGCCATTGTGTCGGCCGGCTTTGCCGAACAATGCCGGTAACTTACGGCCGATCCATCGCTTCGGAAAATGCGAAAAAATCTTGTCGCCGCTTTTTCCGTCCTACGAACGATACAGTGCTCGTCCGTTGCGCCGATGTCTTTCTCATCTCGCGCAAATCGTAAATTCCGATCATTTTTTCCCCCAGGTTACGTCAAGTGGTGCGCAATCTCGAAGTAAAATTGTCGTAACCGGCACGGATCGGCGAGACGCTCGCTTGTAACTCGCGGTCGATTGCTGCACGTGAAATATGAAAAACATTCCGGTTGCGTATATTACTCTTTTTTTTTCTCCCGAGCGGTTCGTGAAACCGCATCGATGCTTGTCTCATTTCCGCGAAATCGTAAATTCAAATTATTCGCGGTGCTTCGTGTAGCACTGCTGCGCGAAATAAAATCGCGGGCGAATAGTGAAGTGTATAAAAGAAGGAACTTATCGGAACCGTGTCGTCAACTTTGTTGTACACTTTGCTCATTCACTTACGCAAGACGGATTCGAGAGAATTTACATCGATTGTACGGAGTGGAGGAAAAGAGAGGGAGCGGGAAAATAAAAAGCACAATAAAAATTTTCAGAAATCCTCCCTTTACGTACCGGAAAAATAAATCGTCTCTGTAGTAAACTCACGCATATGCACCGCGTGCATTCCTATGCGTCGGTAATTAAACCGACGCAAAATATCTAACACCGCAGTAAAATGATAAGCGCCACTCGTTAAATAATTCGGGATGCAGCACTGTACGGATGAAACTTTTATTTATCGCTATTAATTATTGTTCGTTCGCGTTAACATTCGCGCGATAATGAGCACGCGATTTTATGGAGTTTCTGTTTTGCTCTCTTTCTTTGTAACATTTCAAATAACGCTCGACATTATCACAATGTACAATTTTTGTATCCATTTTGTGCAAAGCTTTCTGCGCGATTAACCGAACAGGGTAAAGTCTTGAACAATGCTTTTCGTGGTAAAGAGAGAAGGAGAGGAAAAGAGAGAGGGCAGGGGTGAAAACCTAGCGGTATTAAATGAAGAAATACAGTGTTTCGTGATTAGAGAATAATTGAAAACCGGCTGTTGCAATTGTCCGGCGTGTCGCAATCCTGAAGTTGGTCCCGGCGAGGCTTAATCGACCTGCATACAAAAACGTGAGCAATTTGTGTCGTTTTTCTCGAGGCGCAGTCCGTTCTAATTTACAGGAACGCCCGCGACAATCAAAGTGCCGAGTGCTCCGGGCGAAAGGGGGGAAATGTACTTTGTCCGCCGCTTTGTTGACGGTTCAACGGAGATTTGCTTTGGCGATGAAGACGACGACGACGATCAATTTGGCGCGAAATTACGCTTTTCTGAGGAACACATTTTGCACATTGCACGACAATCTTTTACGTTACACCGAGCTCACTTCAGCAAACTGTCCGTTCTATTTTTCTTCCGCCGATTGTCCCGCGAATATTACTACGCTTCATGTTGTCCCCGTAACGTTTCCTTTTCAGCATTAATACTTTTCAGTTGCGAACATAATGAAGCGAGAAATTGCGTTTATTATTCCCCCGGCGACGTGCGGATCGCGATGGAGTGAAAAAAATTTTCACTTCGAAATTGCGTCGGGCGAATTCGCAACGGGGAAATAACTAAACTCAGCTTCGGGAATGCAAATACGGGTGACCAAATTATTCTTCGCTTAATTCCAAGCTAACTTCAGCAGCGAAGTATTTTTTTAAGCGAGAGCGCGTTCGCCAAAATCTTTGATCTTTGACAATTGTGAAATCGCGGAGGAAATATAACGGTCGATCGAATTTTCCTTTCAAGTAAAACCGGCACCAAATTGATCAAAGGACACTGCGCATTTTAGCCCGCCGATCTCACCCTATATACTTTAATGAGCAAGACTATGTACCGGCTATTCGCGACATTGGTTTAACATATTATCCTCGTAGCTCGCTCACGGAGAGAATTTAAATTAAAAATTAAATTCAACTTTAATACGCGAACATAAAGTTATCGTGGCATTATGAAAAATTTGTTAGTAATTAGAATCTTGCCATATGCAGTCATCAGCGTAATACGGAGCATATTCCGCTGTATGTGCATATTCCACGCGTCCGAAAAATAAATTTAAATTTATTCCACATAAATTTCGCGCTGTCTCGTGACGAAGCGGAGAACTCCGCAGCGGAGTTGCAATTCGGTTTAAATTCGGTGAGATGATCTGTCTATGTTATACATACAAGAAAATGTATGTTACGTCAATACCGTTATCACAAATAAAAACAGAGGTCCTCTTTTATCCGTCTCTGACCTCGATACGCAAGAAATTCGATTTCGCTGAAATTGAAAAAAGAAATAACAAAAATATTGTACTTGTCTGAAACAAAAAATATTATACTTATCAGAATAAAAAAAAATTTCGATCAGCTGAAATGAAAAATCCAAGTTCGTAGAAATTGAAAGCAAAGCCGGAGCCGCTGAAATTTGAGAAGAAAATCTAAAATTACCGATTTCTGGCCCACAATAACGAAGGTTTCGCGCACAAGAGCGAGCGGGAATTTCTCGCTGGTTTTTTTCCGGATCGTCCATCACCGTCAGGGACGAGGCGAGACGAAATCCTCGAGAGTTTAAGTAGTCTCTCGCACGCACGAAATGACGAATATACTAATCGCGAGCGAGATTGGCCCCGGGCTCGACCTCGTCGTCGTAGCGAGAGGAAACGGGATCCTCGGCTGGCAACGCTTCCATTGTCGTGCCCCGGTGTCTTCGTGCGCGGACACTATCGCTTTACGGGAAATCAGATTCCGCCGCGAAAGCAGCTTACCGTCAAGATCGAAGTGTATACGCGTGTACCTATCAAATCAATTTTATCGAGTGCGTATATAGAGTGTATCTGCTCTCCCGTTGCCGACGTATCCCTCGGCGAAACTGGGACCGATTTTTCCTACGGAAAATCGTGACGCGAAGCTCAAACACGATACCGTAGAACCACCTAACGTGTAAAATCGCGACTCTTTATATTCACGCGCTTGACAAATATAATCAAAAACGAATAGCATTATCAGCCACTAATTGGGAATTAACGAAATATTCGAAATGTTGAACACGTCAAAATGTTTTTCTTCTCAACTAGAACTTAGTAGAAGCATTTTTAAGTACTAGAATCGGAGGAGGCCTATCTCGGATTTTCGTAGATGAAAATCTCGCGAAGAAGAGCAGCTTCCCTTCGGCTGTGTTCTCTACAGTCTTCCGTCATTCCTCCTTTCTTCATTTTCACGCGGATATATTCGTTTCGTTTTTACGAAGCTGAAAGTACGCGAAAACGGCAACAGCGCCGTTGTCACTTTCGGCTTCTCCAGGTCAAGATAAAGCAGACCTCATCAGACCAGACTCGGCTCTTTCGATCCGAGGAATATACGAGGCCATTTTCCGCGCGCCCGGACGAACACGTACACGTCGTAGCGCGATACACCGGCGGACGAGGCCTCGGGGAAGTTGCACCGGTGAGGAAGCGAAGAGTACTTTACCGGTTCGCCGTTGATGGTCCAACGAAGATTGGCCTTAGGCACGGACGGCCAGGCGGTGCAGTTGGCAGTCACGTTCTCGCCGACGGCGTAGTGCGAGGACAGGCCCGTGATTTCCGGTCCCCTCTCCGGAAGCGCTGCGAACGTAAATTCTCCGTGTGAGGACGTGGCGAAAGTTTCCCCATAAACCAGTTACTTTCCTCCGGTTAGACTCTATAAACTTTCGACTATTACCCGGAGAGAGTTCTCCGCCCGCGCGTCGGTTCGTTCGCTCGCTCGTGCGTTCTCTATCCTCGTCGAGAAGGTGGCTGACTGGGTGGTTGGATAGAGGGTGGGCTCGATCGGGGAGGGGGGTTTCTCACTTCGCAAAGCGCGAGTTTAAGGTGCGAGTCGCGGAAACGCGACGCGAGATGAATTTCCCGGATACCGGGTGTCAACGCGCCCGCACTCGAACGTTTTCCTACGTGACGTAACGAGGTACGGTAACGCTACGCGTTGTGTATCGGCGTACACTTGTGAACGAGCAAGAGAGGAGATTCGCGAGAGGGGCGAGAACGTGGCGAGCCCGTTGTCGTTTGTAAAGTGCTTTTTACCAGGCATTGCGGTCGTGCGGAGCGAGAAAATAAAAATAGACTGTTCGTAGATTGATGTAGTGTGAAAACTTTTAGAACCGAGCCGAAATTTTAGATCTACTTTCGATCCGAGTTTTCTGACATCTGTACGTTCCGCAGAATCAATGTAGATTTAATTTATATTTTAACGCCTCTAAATGGCAGAAAAAGCACAAAATGTTTTTTTTATATTACGTTCATTTATATTAGGGTTACTTATATTACGAAAAGTTAAGAAGAATTTTGAAGTATCACGGTAGAAGAGTAGCGAAACATTCGAGTAGGATTTACAGATTTTAAATACGAGCTGTAAGTTAAATAGAATCAAAGGAGATTGCTACAGGTTTCAGAATATCTAAGCAGGCTTTACATGGAATATTGAGGTCGAAAGTAGAGTTGCAATTTCAGCTAGGAAGGTTAAATAGAACCAAACGAGGTTCATATAGGCTTCAGAATATCAAAGTAGGTATTAAATGAAATTTTCAAGTCGAAGGTAACATCAAAATTTCGACTCGGGGATATTCGTGAAATGGAGCACGCGGAACTCGCGGCAATCTGTATCGCGCGCGCGGTTGTGCGTCGTTGACGTATAAAAATGACATATAAAATTTTATGAAAACTCCAGCAGATAAACGTGACAAACTATTTGTACAGTTATTTAAGGAACGAGCGATATAATACGAATTATAAATTTATTTCGGGGCAATCTGTGAAGTAGCTATCGCGCAGACTGTAGATTCGGCGCGTGTTCGGAAGCTCTCCCGAGTTATGGATCGCGAACTGCGTACGGCGAGATGGATGGGCCCTCTCGTATCGCGAGAACATATGCAAATCGAATTCGACTAAATAAATAAAATTCAGACCCACGCTCGGTAACTCGGCGAAGATCTGTATACGTCGATGATGAATGGTGAACGATGGCGTCGTGTTGAATTTCGCATCTCGAGATGACTCGAATCGCGATGTATCTCGGGAGATCTCAAGGAGAGAGAGAGCGTACCGGCGCTCGTGTGTTCTCCCGCTCGCGCTCTCCTCGCGCGATCGCATGGCGCGATTTGAATCCCCGTTTACTTTGCTGAAACAATTTCCCCCCGGTCTTCCGGCCGGCGGCGTACAAGGCGGGGTAAGTTTTGCACGTTTTCACGACCGCGCCGCTCAGCACGGAGGGAATTAATTTTCAATTAGGTCGGGCACGTGACTTCCGCGTTCGTGATCAAACGAAGAGTCGCGTCGGGGCCCCTCGCAGTTATCGACTCTATGCGGCTATGGCAAATATTTTCGTTGAGATAACACAAATCGTATAATGAGTAACTGTTTATCTTGCACGCGTAAGAGATCGCGCAAACGGAAAAATGTAGAGGCGGCACGCGAAGATAAAATCTGAATTTATTTATTATACTCTTCATGAAAAATATGAGACGAAGGAAGGACTTTTATCTGCCTTATAAGAGTGTTTGAATTCACGCAATACGTGCATCTTTTAAATATTATGAGCAATAGAAGCATATAAATATTAAATATACTGATAGAGAGGTATAGTTGATTTCGGTGTCTAACGTGTTTTTTAGCGGTAGTAACATGCATGTTACTATCATTGACATTGTAGTAACATTTACTAGAAAAATGGTTCTTCTATTTTTGTAGTTAAAAAGTACGTTTGGTGCCAAAACTAACTATAATTTTCTATCAGGTATATAAATATAGTGCAATGACGCAGTTTCCCAAAATTTTCAATTTTATAGCAAACCTAGTTCGCTTACGGGTTACTACATAATTTTCTACGGCCCCCCGGGTGATTTTTATACTATCGATTACGGATGTAGTAATTGAGTGATTTTGATATAGTCGATCGTATAAAAATCGTTTGGCCGATCGCAAAAGATAACGTGGCCGAACGTGAGTTCGTTGACCCATCTTCAAAAGTTTTCGTTAAATCAACGAACGTTTTTCACCTCTGCGCTTGTCGAAGTATATTATTTAGTCAATTTCGCGAAGTATATTATTCAGTCAATTTCGCGAGTGATACGGCCGAATGACTTCTCCCGAACGCTGTAGCGCCGAATTACGATGATAATTGATACGAACGTTCCACGTTTCACTTACGTGGCGCAGCAACGAGTGGAATTGCGGCGCAATAGCAGAATCGATTGAAACGGTTGCATTCGCGGCCGTTCGAGCGAAGAATTACTAAAATTTACTCGCGCTCAGCGTGTAGAATATCGCGTGTGTTTACGCCGGGACAATACGCCAAGAGCCGTAATCCTCCGAGCGATTAATCACTTAACGAACTAATAATTAGATCCAATGCGGCGACTGGTAATGCTTTCCTATATCGTTTGATGCGATTCACGTGTGTGGAAACACGAGGAAATCTCATCCGCCTTATTCGTTTTTTTTTTCTTTTTTTAACAAAAGCGTAAATGTCTGTTTTTACCCAACGAATGACAAGTGAGAAAAAGATCGCCCGTTAAAAAATTATATTATTGTCGATACTTATCCGAGCTTTTCGGCTGTGCAGCAATTCTCGAATATTCGAACGATTCTCGTTGACACTTAGCGCTTGTCGACGATGATGATTTCCTCCGTCTCACTCGTTTCCCGTTCCCTGTAATCGTCAATCTCCGTTTTTTTCGAGAGACACCCTCTCTCGTTATGGGCTGTCGCACATGCGTCGATCCACAATCAATTACCGGATTTATCGCGTACCGCTACCGGCGTGTCGTGTGTACCAGTGTGCTCGATGTCTCTAATAGCGTTAATTGGCACGCCGGATTATGAGAGACATTCGCGTTCGGGCGGGCGCGACCGAATGCTCAATTAAACATCCGCCCTGTTGTCCGTGAGCACACGTTGCAGCACTCGGTGCAGCTCTACCTCGGATTCGGTCCATTAATGCCTTCCGCCCCGAAATATCCGGGGCGCAATTAAAACGGAGAATTTCGGGCGTCACGCGCCGAGAACCTCGACCGGTGCCGCCGTCGCTGTCGATTCCGCGGAGTAAAACGCGAACGAGCGGAAGACGAGAAACGTAAAAGGGCGGAAAGGGCGGCGAGCGCCCGCGGACAGATGGAGGGAAATTTTCGAGATTGCGGAAAAGCGCGCTGGAAAACCGTGACGGTCGCAGCACCGCGCTGCGCCGCGAGCATGTGCCACTGAAAGTCCCGTCATGATAATTTCGTCGCGCATTAAGCTTGTAATGGAGCCGATTATTTCGCGGAGATTCCAGAGTGCTCCCGTGGAATTTCATTTTCGGCGACGCTCAATGGACACGCCGCGCTAAATTCCGTTAGGGTGAGGGCGAAGAGTTGAAAGGAGCGGTCATTCGGGTCGGATACGAACGTTTCTAATATATCGTACAACGAAGGAGTCGGGGCGGGAATATTTGAAGAAAATTTGAAAAGTAAGCTTGTGAAATAGTTTACAAAACAAGAGAAGGAGGAATATACACAGATCGTAGTGTATAGTCTGAATACTTAATGTGTTGAAGCGATTTTTGAGCGAAAATTACAAAAAGAACTTTTTCAAGCTTAGAATATCATATGTTCTTTTCTACACGCGATTTAATGTATTATATAATTGCCACGATTTCTAAATATCGGTTGTAACATCGTCGTCTTTACATTTAACGATCATGACGCGCGAATATATTGACACGATTCGGGTGACTGAAAGATCATCATTACTATTACGCCGGCCTGTGTGGACCATTAATGACATCCAATATTTTTCCGTGAAACTTTTCAAGCGATTCGCAGATACGTCGGCGATGAGAAAAATTGTCAACCGGTATTTTCAGCACGAGCTTATACGAACAACTATAATAGCGGGGATCTCTGATTTCATATTTATGGCGAGTTGAACGTTTTTTGAAGTTTCGAACTTCGCGGAAGTAGTCGCGTCACATGGATTTTCCGCGTAGAATCGCAAGTAGCGCGAGCATACCGCGGCGCGCCACCGCTACCGGGCGGAATCACGAAGAGAGGGAAAGAAATTTGTCAGGATTGCGGGAAAGTTGGATAACCTGACGCTCTGCCAGGATTCTAGCATTCGCCATGCTAGCGCATTCGGCCGCGCGGAAAGTATTCCGCTGCAATAACTCCGCCGACAGTGATTTAAGCGCGTAATTACGGGGGGTTATTGCAGGCACGGGAGGGCCCCTGTGCTTCTTTCTTTTTTTCGCGAATTTAATATGCATAACGGCGAAGTCTTATGCGCCACGTTAGAAACCGCGATCGTACGAGTCGCGATCGATTTCAGATAGACAACTGAAATACTACCACGTGGTGAATTGCACGTGATTAATTGCATCGGGGATAACAATTTGTGCGTACGGTAGGTAAATGAGATGCGGGGAAACTGAATTTGCGCTTCTCTTGCAGTTGACAGATCTGTCCGTATTCGTGTACAGATCTTATTTGATTTCGCAACGAACGCCGGATTATTCGCAAAGGCGAATCTGACCGCAATGAGAAAGAAAAAGAGAGAAAGGGACGCGTGGCATTTTTGGGAGTCGCCTCGCGGTGAGT